GAAGAGTGTCGGGAAAAGACAGATTGCAACTATTCGTTCTAGGACCCCACACAATCAGCTGATCGCCGATTGATGCGGCGATGTTTTTCTCTCATTCTCTTTTTCTCTGTTATTCTTTTGCTGCCGCGATCCCTTACTTAATTTCCTACTCCTAAAAACTGGAAAAGGTGAGATACTTTTGCTTATACTAAGGTTTTTTGTTTACCTACGCTTATAAGTGAGTGAATTTTTGCTTACCATTGTCTGTTATTCGTACCAGGACCCACACGCGCGCAGTGAAACACACTGTTTAGCTCGTCCGTACGCCCCGCTCTTCTTCATTTTTCTGGTTTCATTCTCGTCCAGCCCCCTTTTTAACGGTTTTCGAAGCCTTCTTTCACTTTGGAAACACCGATTCACGCAGTTTCTTCACCTCATGGCAATATTTTCGACCTTGTCTTCCATTTTTCATCATGATCTGGATTACCCAAAATTATCGTGAACTGTGCCTTTGAAACTAAAGCTGGTCATCCTTTAGGTCCTTCAGACTTTTTTTCGAATCATGCTGCGAGAAGCCAAATCGACTGAAATAATCCCCAATTATAGCGCTGGTTACCTTCAAAAGTTCCATGTATAACCTCGTGGACTATGTATTTGCAAATAGTGGGGCTGAAGCGGAATTAGGAAGCCAACAATTTTTGTGCTCGCTGCATCTCTGCCATCTTTAGAGCTACAGTAATGCCAAGAGGGTGCTTCTGGACATTTAGCTAATATGTTGAGCCATAAACCCTCTGGACGTGCAACAAGGTCATTCGCCATGAGGTTGCCGCCATTCGCAAATGCAGGAAGTCAGCCGGGAACGAAAATTAAAATATGGGAATTTCTGTTTCATTTTTTTCTATGCAGTTGTTGCATAAGGGGCTTTTAACTGGGTAGCCCGCCTGCCGTGGTGAGCTAACAATTGAGAAATGGATGCTAGCATAAAGAGAGACTAGGCGAATAATTCTGTTGGAAGTGTGTGGGCGGGGTGTAGTCTATTTAGCCTATTGGAAGCTATCCTTACTATAAATAGTACGCTAACACCTGTCTGTCCGTCAGTTTGTTTGTTTGTTTGTTTGTGTTTGTTTAGAAATTCAACAATTTCTGAAGAAGCTCTTACAACAGTCAAGTCTTGGGATGAGTTGAGCGGTCAAGACGAACAGAGCACATGTGAGCTTAGCGGAGCTCCACCTACTGGAGCACAGGAATCAGGTCAGCATATTGACGCACATGTGTCGTCACAAAACCTCGTTAGGTCTGTAACCTCACCACTTACTTGCCCATACCGTTGATGAGTGATGACCGATTCCGCCCTGTAATGGATAGCACAAGCTCGGACTGACCAAGTAATTATTTCGTTTCCATCCTGGAATCTAACTTTTTGAATTTATGTTCAGTGATCATGTGGGGACCCATTTGAATATCTCCACGACCTAAAATGAAAGTCATTCATAGCCCAACAAGGATTGGTTACTAGTCATTAATAAATAACAAATGACGATGCAGCAAGGTTCCTGACTGTCTTCGACAATCATGAGCCAATGTCGACTGCGCAAGGGTAGATTATGGACATGCCGTAGCTTGTATCTGAACGTTCTCATTGCTTAATAGATAAGTAAAATGAACAAACGTTCTGAAAACGAGAAGGACATTTCTACTTAAGAAAGGCGGGAGGCTAGTCTTTTCCTCCCTATAACAAAGTAGAATTGTCCCGCTGACGCCAGAATTGTCCCGCTTGCCCCACCATTACTCTTCTCGGAACAGATCTTTCATTTCTGGTGGTGAAGTTGAGAAGGGAAACTCCGGAATCAGGAGGGCACGGCAAAGTGGGTAGAAAGCATCCGAGGAGGGAAGTACTAGTATACAATATGTGATAGAGCCTACGCTCACGATTACGAACTCTCGATCTGTTTCTCCTGATATTACTAATGTTGTGACTGCTGTTGATAACACTATTCTTTCAAGCCATTATCGTAGTCAACGTTAGTTTTTTTACCTTCATGGATTAGCCTATCAGATTATCATCAGTCCTCACCTACCTTAGCGCAGCTGAGTATTGAATTGAGTTGAGAATTAATTCATCGCAATCCCAATTTTGCTCTTCTTATACGGTACCAAACATTATCATTATCACTACTAGTTTCTCGTTTTACCAACCTACTCCACCATGCCTCCTTATCGCGAGATTCATGCCAGAGCTCGAAGCCCATAACAAAAATACGAGGTGAGCTGGGAACTGATTAGCTTTTTTATTTCGGGATCCCGCATCACCTTCTATTTGCTGATACCATTCACTGTCTTCCACTATCTACGATTCAGTCACATATTACGTCCTCACACTCTAAAATAGCAGGGCTCCACTGTTAACTCGAGAAGGCTGTTGTATTTCAACTCCAAATATCAGCCTTTATCAGTTCCCAGGAATCTCTGTCACTAATCACCCTCCCCCCCCCCCCCCCCCCCCCCCCCCCCCCCCCCCC